CGTTATCGAGTCGAACTGTCGAAGCGGCTTCCTCTTCGTCTGGTGTATTTTTTTTGGTAGCGACAGTGCTGCGACACCACAAGTGTTTTCACAAAAACCATTGATGTGCAAACAGGTTTTGAGGGCGTCGACCTCACAATCATCCCGGAAATTCCTCATAAGACAGACCATTACTCTTCTTCGGTGTGAAATGAGCGCTCCCTAATTAATGCCATTCAAGAAAAGGCTACCCTTCTCTTTTCATTTCTTTCTTTTTTTTCAACTTTTAATCGACACTTGATTCGATTGAATTCCTGAATCTGGACGTGTTTGTGGAAAGGTGCAGAAAATCGAGTTTGAGCTGCTTTTCACAATCTCTACTCTAAAACCATCCAGATTCAGGCGCTCAGTCCGATCCTCTTTGCTGATGGGACATGGCCCTCGGGGATAGTATAGGTGATTGCTCGGTAGCTAGTTGGGGTGTATAGGTAGATGGGGGGTATAGTTATTTGAGGGGGTATTCTTAGTGTAGGTAATTGGGAGGTAGAGGTGATACGGGGCTTGTCTAGCGGTTAAAGATCAAGAGGACCCCGACTCCGATTCTTTTAGGTAAGTGGGGGGGGGCGTTTTTAGGGTAATTTGGGGGGGTACATCCGCAATTAGCGGGAGTAGGTTGTCCTCCGGGACATTCGTTAAAATTGCAAAGATGTCCTCCGAGACATACGTCAAAATTGGAATAATACAGAAAAAGAAGACTAGCATGGGGCCCCTGCGCAAGGATAACACGCACAAATCGAGAAAAGGTCCAAATACAAATTTTGAAAGAAAAAAAAAGGAGTGACAGAGCGAAGATTAGCATGGGCCCTGGGCAAAGATGACAAAAAAAAAAAAGAAAAAAAAAAAGAGGGGTTGTAGGCAACTGGGGGCTGTAGGTGATAATTGGGGACGACAACTAATTGGGTTCTATACGCAAAATTCTTCATTTGGATGCCCTATACACGATTGATTTCTTTTTTTTTTTTTCTCAAAACACCTACTTGGAACCTCAAAAACGACATTTCAGTTAAAAAACAATAAATAAATAAGAGATCATCAACACATTCGATAAAACAAACATTGCCCAACAACACAAAAATGCAAAAAAAAAAAAAGCAAAAAAAAAAGCATGCGTTTGATCTCGTAAGGAGAAGTCCTTCGGGACATCCGTGAAAATTGGAACGATACAGAGAAGGGTAATTAGCAAATGGCCCTGCGCAATGACACGATTTATAAATCGAGAAATGGTGGTCCATAAAAGAGAAGGAAGGAAGAAAAAAAGGGAAAAATAAATAAAAAACTACAATAAGAAAGGGAGAATTCGGACAAGCTGTCGTCCGCGAACGTCGTTTCCAACCAAAAAGAAAAGAATGGCAAATTAAAATAACACAAAATAATAATAATAAATTTTATATCCAGCGGTACTTGTCGAATGAAATCGAGGAAGACAGGGGCGAGGGCCCAAAAAAATGGCAAATTAAAAAACGAAAAATAATAATAATAAATTTTATATCCAGCGGTACTTGTTGAATGAAATCGAGGAAGACAGGGGCGAGGGCCCAAAAGAATGGCAAATTAAAAGACGAAAAATAATAATAATAAAATTTATATCCAGCGGTACTTGTTTTTTGAATGAAATCGAGGAAGACGGGCGAGGGCCCAAAAGAATGGCAAATTAAAAAACGAAAAATAATAATAATAAATTTTATATCCAGCGGTAGAAAAATAATAATAATAAATTTTATATCCAGCGGTACTTGTTGAATGAAATAGAGGAAGACGGGGGCGAGGGCCCGCTAGCAAAGAGTATTGGATTCAGAATCTCGCTCTATGCAAAGATGCAGAAAAGCAGATCAATCGTGATTTTCTGCACCGCAAATCCGTCCAGATTCAGACAACTGATCCAAATCCTCTTTGCAAGTGGGAACTTGATCCAGGGGCAGCGATCGAAAAGCAGAAGGCATGATAACATCGATTTTTAATTTAAAGAATTTTTGTTATTTTATTTTATTTTATTTTTGAGCAGGGGGCATGCTAATCTTCTCTGTATCGTTCCAATTTCAACGGATGTCCCGAAGGACTAGTTCATTTAATTCAATCGATTCATTTAGTTTGTTTTTTTTTATTCAAAGAATTTTTGTTATTTTATTTTATT